TGTGTGTGTATATATATATATATATATATATATATATATATATATATATATGAAACAATGAATGAATAAAAGAAAAGATTAGTTTGTATGCATGAATGTGTGCTTTATATAAAAAATTAAAGTTTTGTTAAAAAATTAGAATAGTTTCAAAAATTATTTCTTTTATATTTTTATTCTAGAAAAATATATTCATATTTGTTTTATTATTTTATATAGTATTTAAATATTAGTTTAATAGTATATATAATTTTTTAACAAATGAAATGTTTTATATATATGAAATATTAAGTATGCTTTTAACATTTTAGACATACAAATACATTATATCACATGCATACTATCTTAATAAATATATTTCATTCTTTTTATTAACTTGAATTATGTTAACAATTATATCTTTTATTGCAAAACATTTGTCTTGTATTGTTATTTTTTCTAATAGTTCTATGTAATAGATATAATAAGAATTTGTATTCAAAAGTATTATAATAGTTTCATTTTTAAATTATTTTAAAATTTATTTTTTTGTTTCTTATTTATTTTATGTTTTTATAGCATCTGGAAGAAAATTATCTGTTCCTGGAAAAAGAGTGGGCACAGTTATAAGTAAAAGTCAAACATTACCGCGCAGCATGGGACGTTCAACAGCAATACAATCATGTCATAGAGTTGCACCTATTAAACCATCATCTACACCACCTTCAGTAAAAAGACAATTATCAGTACCTGGAAATGGTTCACCTATTAGGAGACCAGGAACACCTACCACATCAAACAGCAATAGAGGAACACCTACAAGAAAAGTACCCATTTTAAAAGGTGTAGATCCAAAACTGGCACAAGTTATCCTAGATGAGATTTTGGAAGGTGGAACAGCAGTTCACTGGGAAGATATTGCTGGTCAAGAAGTATGTAGATATTATACCTATATTATCAAATAAAAAAGAATATATAATATAATATATATGATAATAAGCTTACATTTTCTTTTTTTAATAAAATAGACTGCAAAACAAGCACTACAAGAAATGGTTATTTTACCTTCATTAAGACCAGAATTATTCACTGGTTTGCGAACACCAGCAAGAGGATTATTATTATTTGGTCCACCAGGAAATGGAAAGACATTACTTGCACGTGCTGTTGCTACACAATGCAATGCTACATTTTTTTCAATATCTGCTGCTAGTCTTACATCAAAATATGTTGGAGAAGGAGAAAAACTAGTACGAGCTCTTTTTTCTATTGCCCGAGAACTACAGCCATCTGTGATCTTTATTGATGAAGTGGATTCATTGTTAAGCGAACGTAGGGATAATGAACATGAAGCTTCTAGGTAGATTTTAATATAGCTTTTGATATTTATATAAATTGATAAATATTTGTAATTATTATTTATTTGACAATTCTTATTTAGGCGATTGAAGACAGAATTTTTAGTTGAATTTGATGGATTACCATGTAATCCAGAAGAAAGAGTATTGGTCATGGCAGCTACAAATAGACCTCAAGAATTAGATGAAGCTGCATTAAGAAGATTCACAAAACGAGTATACGTTACGTTACCTGATTTACGAACAAGAATTATGTTATTAAAACGACTTTTAGCTAAACATAATGATCCACTGACTTCAGAAGAGTTGAATGAAATGGCAGTTTTAACTGAGGGCTATTCTGGGAGTGATTTAACGGGTTTAGCAAAAGATGCAGCTCTTGGTCCTATTAGAGGTAAGATAAAATTTCATAAATTTTTTATATATATTTTGTTTTCTTTTTTACTTAATATGACTGAATGGACACAAAGATTTTGACCAGACAGTCTAATAAATAAATAAATCATTATTAATTAAATAAAAAATGTTCTATTTTTAACCTTCATAAAAAATATATTAAATCTTGTACAGAACTTAATCCAGATCAAGTAAAAGAATTGGATCTTAATTCTGTACGTAATATTACAATGCAAGATTTTCGTGATTCGCTTAAAAGAATTCGTAGATCAGTGTCTCCTGCAAGTTTGGCTGCTTATGAAAAATGGAGTTTTGAATATGGTGACGTAAGTCTATGATTTTTAAAAATTAGTTGAACTTTATAAAACTTTAAAATAAATTATACTGAAATATATCGATATTTAAAAAGAAAAGAAGAAAAAACTTAACAATGAAAAATACAACAAAAACGATATTCTGCGATATTAATTAAAATGATATTAATTATTATAGAATGTAAATATAGCAGCTTTTACATTTTCTAAGCTAATTTATAAAATAACATCTATATATGAAAAGAAAATGTAATAATATTGCA